ACGGGCATGCGTCTCCTGCCGCTCACCGATAAGGCCGCCCAGGCCGGCAAACTGGTCTACTCGGATTCTGAGGTGCGCGACGTGTTTGAGAAGGCCACAGTGTCTGCACCGTTTGGCACGTTCCAGGGCAGGACAGTGAGCATTTGGGAGATCATCAACTCTGAATACTTCAGTGCTGAGCAGCGGCGTGACCTGCTACGCCAGTTCCGTTCAGGCAAGGTCACGGTGGAGAAGGTCATCAAAATCATCATCACGGTGGTGGAAGAGCACGAGCAGAAGGCCCAGCTCCGCTTCCAGGGCCTGCGTGCCCTGGTGCCCGCCGCTCAGCTGCTGGAGAGCGGGGTCATCAGCCAGGACGTGTTCGGCCAGCTGCAGCGTGGCGTGTGCTCAGTGCAGGACGTGGCAGAGGTGGACGCTGTGCGGCAGGCCTTGCGGGGCACGAACATCATCGCGGGTGTGTGGCTGGAGGAGACGGCGCAGAGGCTGAGCATCTACGAGGCACTGCGGAGAGACTTGCTCAAGGCCGATGTGGCTGTGGCCCTGCTAGAGGCCCAGGCAGGCACTGGGCACATTCTTGACCCAAACACCAGTGCCAGGCTGACGGTGGACGAGGCGGTGCGGGCTGGCCTGGTGGGTCCCGAGCTGCACGAGAAGCTCCTATCCGCCGAGAAAGCCGTGACAGGCTACCGCGACCCGTACTCTGGCCACAGTGTGTCCCTGTTCCAGGCCCTGAAGAAGGGGCTCATTCCCAGGGAGCAGGGCCTGCGCCTGCTGGATGCCCAGCTGTCTACCGGTGGCATCGTGGACCCCAGCAGGAGCCACCGCGTGCCCCTGGATGTGGCTTACGCACGGGGCTACTTGGACGAGGAGACAAACAGGACCCTGTCGGTGGCCCGGGATGACGCCAAGACCTTCCTGGACCCTGGCACGCTGGAGCCAGCCACCTACAGCCAGCTGCAGCAGAGGTGCCGGACGGACCAGCTCACTGGGCTCAGCCTGCTGCCGCTCTCAGAACAGGCCGTGCGTGCCCGACAGGAGGAGCTGTACTCCGATGCTCAGGCCCGTGAAGTCCTGGAGAAGGCCACCGTCGAGGTCCCCGTGGGCGGCTTCAGGGGCCGCCCGGTCAGCGTGTGGGAACTCGTCAGCTCCGAGTACTTCACGGAGGAGCAGCGCACAGAGCTGCTGAGGCAGTACCGTACGGGCAAGGTCACCGTGGAGAAGGTCATCAAGATCGTCATCACCATTATCGAGGAGACGGAGACCCGACGGCGGGAGAAGCTGTCCTTCAGTGGCCTGCGGGCCCCTGTCCCGGCCAGCGAGCTCCTGGATGCCAGGATCCTCAGCAGGACCCAGTTTGAGCAGCTCCAAGATGGCAAGACTTCTGTCAAAGACCTCTCCGAGGTGCCTGCCGTGCGCACGCTGCTCCAGGGCAGCGGCTGCGTAGCTGGCGTCTATCTGGAGGACTCCAAGGAGAAAGTGACTATCTACGAGGCCATGCGGCGGGGCCTGCTCAGGGCCAGCACGGCCACGCTGCTGCTTGAGGCACAGGCGGCCACCGGCTTCCTGGTGGACCCTGTGCGCAACCAGCGGCTGTATGTCCACGAGGCAGTCAAGACAGGCGTGGTGGGGCCCGAGCTCCACGAGAAGCTGCTGTCAGCTGAGAAAGCCGTCACGGGCTACAAAGACCCCTACTCAGGCTCCACCATCTCCCTGTTCCAGGCCATGCAGAAAGGCTTGGTCGTCAGGGACCACGGCCTGCGCCTGCTGGAGGCCCAGATCGCCACGGGCGGCATCAT